AGATGGTTTCGAAAGACGGGGGCATTGGGGAACTTGTGCATGTAACAATGCATGCAGTATCCCTTCCGTTTTTCGAGACAAGGTCTTTTGATGATTGTCTCGCACCCCGGCTCCAAACAACGTCTGTTCTTATTACCGTTTTCGCCCAAACTGTCGCCCGAACCGGGCGCTATTCGAGCGAATAAACGATAATAATACCGGATTGAGTCCATACGAGTACGGACTAGTACCGGCTATCCGCGAACCGCCGGGTTTTTGACGCCCGGTATCCGTGAACAATCCTCATATACTAGCCGACCGGCAAAATTCCACCGGCCGGGCTCGGCCTTCCAGCCGCAGCCTCAGCAGCCTCAGGATGTTCCGGGCGGCGTTCACGTCTCGATTCACAGTCATGCCATTACAGCCATTGTTGGAACAATGGAGCACACTATGGATCTTGACGGTCTTGACCACCCCATCCTTGCATCGCTTCTCCGAGTACTGATTGCGCAGCTGCGTCTTGCAATCGAAGTGCAGCTTGCTCGTCCTGAACTCGTCCATCGAAACCACCCTGCAATGCTTCCGGAGCTCGCGCTCCAGCCGCTTCACGGGTCCGGATGGAGATCCCTTGATGATGCCTCCGGAGTCCTTGTTCGACCAGTCTCCGAAGCCCACCACCGTCTTGCAACCCACTCGCCTGGTGATAGCCTTGCAGAGCGCATGCAGCTTCTTCTGGGCCGAGATGTACCGCTTGAACTTGAGCCCTCTGAAATCCTGCCTCATGTGGTAGACTAGGAGCATGTCAAGCCTGGGCAGCATGAAGTGCACGTATGCTAGGAACTTGGTGCTCTCCGAGGTCTTCTTGGTGGGCATGTTGCGGATGGCCTCGAGCACCTCGGGGCTCCCATCATACCACCGCTTGATCTTGGCATTGCTGTGCTTGTACTTGGCGTCGCCGTAGAACTCTCTGGTGGAGCATCTCAGCTTCTCTCCTCCTTCGTTGACCATGACGAAGAGGTCTCACCTGCCAGGGTCTAGGCCCCACAGTTCCTCCCTGCCAGTGAGGTCGGGGAGAGTTGCTTCTCCGTTAGCCTGCTTTGGTTTGGGCTTCCTCAGTACGATGCACACGGCCTTCCCGTCCGTGAGGATCTCGCCTGCAAACTTGCGGTTGCATGTCTCGAATTTTGCAATGTCGAAGAGGTCTCGCCAATAGTCGTCAGCCACCTTCCTGAAGTCGCCTCCTGAGGCTGGAAGCTTGACCCCTCCCCTCTTGAGAAGCCCGTAGAGTCCGTTCGTGCACATCTTGAGGTGATTGCACTCGAAGCCCCTCTTGGTGGGTAGGAGGCTGAAGAGCCTCAGCTGCTTGCCTTTCTTCAGCTCCTCTTCCGTCAGGGGGTGATGCGACTCCATGTAGCGCAGGAACATGTATTGCATCGGCATGAGTAGGTGAGGGGTGGAGTCCGCCCTTCCGACCGTGGCTTTTGGGAGCATGGCTCGGTACTCCAGCACTAGCGGGTCTTCTCCTTCATACTCGTCGGCAAATATGTCTCGCAGCTTTGCATAGCATGCGGGCCCATCGAGCGAGTACTTGTGCTTCAGGTAGCGCTTGAGACGCTTGTAGAAGTTGGTGGCAACGGAGTTCCTTGTGCAAGTGGCCATCTGCAGGCTCGCATTCTGGTACCATCCGGAAGATTGAAGGTGCTCAGAGTCAGGAGGCACATAATCGGCAGGGCGAGATGCCAGGTAGAGGTCGACCGTCTCCCTCAAGTACATGTCTTTGACGGCACTCCTTTGCCTACCGGCCACACTGACTGCAGATAGACAGCCATAGAAGAAGGACTGGTCCAGAGGTGGCACCTCCCGGCCCAACTCGCACATGCGCAATACATGCAAGTTAGCAAGCACGTAGGCCTCGCAAATTGCCTTATTCACTTCCTTGAGCACGCTCTCTAGGGGTAGGGCCCTTGCAGCGTCCTTGCAGAAGCTGTTCAGGCTGGTCTTGACCACGGTGCACTCGGTCTCCTTGTTCCTCAGGGCCCGGAGCTTGACATCCTCTCGGGTCCTAGGCTCTTTGAAGAGCTTGCTCACGTAGGCCAGGCATTCGTGGTGGAGAGCGATGTCGGGGGGCTTCTTGGGTGGCATGAGGCCACCTCTATACACCCCTTTAAGGAAAATAGATCTCGGGATTTTTACGCGCGGCCCAGGTTATGGCATACGAGCTAAGTACTTATGGTGTCAGAATGGCGTATATAACAACCCAGTAGGGCAATTATATGTGACATTGTTCTTAATGGGGTCCAACCGGTCAGTCCGCCGCGACACTTTCGACGAAAACGGTAATAACATCTTCCATGCCCTCTTCTCGATGTCGCCCACATCTCGTAGGTGCCCCCCCAGCGATTCCAAACGCAGGTGACGTCCGGCACCCCTCTGTCTTGCACTTTGTGAAATTCCTCTCCATATCCTGGGACTTATGTTGCGCGCATCGCGTCGCTTTGGCATGGGGCAGCCCAAATGTGGGTGCTTTGCCACAACCTTCTATCGCACAAAGCCTGTGTGGGACCATTGCCGCTGCCTTGTGCTCCGCGCACGAGGTTGGACGCCCACCCGTAACGCCGTAGGACGGTTGTTTCTTGCATCCTTGCGATTGGCAGCATTTGTTTATGAGATTCACCATGCTCACGGTTTTGTGTCTTGTGCACCGAGTTGGTCGACCTCCCGGCATGCCGAAAGTAGGACGCGTGGGACAACCCTCAACGTCGCACAGCTTGCTGTTGACGTCGACCATGCCGTCGGCCTT